AAATTTAAAATGCCACTGAGCCGTTGGTTTCAAGATTTTTTGTGTTTCTGATTTCCAATCTAAAACTTTGTAGTCATGTTCCAGTTTTAAATCTTTGGCTCGTTTCTTGATTATTTCTTCATAAGTCTCTGGATTTGTTATTTCTGAAATTCGTCTGATTTCTTTTTCAATATTTCCAAACACTCTGTCTGGAGGAATAAAGGAATGCCCTACTATAGGGAAAATGACCTCAACCTGATGGATATGTTCAGGTGCTAATGTGGCGAACCAAAAGCACACCATTCCAATAAATATGGAATTCTTGTTTTGTCCGCCACATCCATCACAAAACAGACGAACAGTTTTTTGCTGCAGATTAAATTTATAATTATTTTAAGTATGAAAGATTGCTGAAGCTATTTCGTTTGATTCTTTTGGCCGTTCAAGGTCTGTCCATTCATAGCATCGAACGTTTTCTGAAGATAGCGAAGCCTTTGAGTTACCGATAACAACTAACATTTTAAAGGTAAATATTGTTGTTTTTGTATTCAATTCACTTAAGTAAACGATACATTATGGGAACAGATCTGTAATATTTTACGGGCTTGTATATATAAAAGACCTTTACAGTTTTACAGGCTTGTAGAAAAAGCAATTTATGAAATGAAATATACAATTTTAAAATTTGAAAATTGTTATCTAAAGGTGTAAATAAAAGTGTCACGCTTTGCAATTAATCTTTACTAGGCTCACTGGATTATGGGTTCGCTCCTGCCCCGCTCACCCCCCAAACTTCCAGCTTGACACGTAAATAACTATTCACTATGATAGGTTTACGTAAAAAAACGGGTGTGTCGTTAAGTAGATCATCTAGTCAGTGGCGTATTTAGGGGGGGGGTCCGCCGGGTCCGGACCCCCCCCGGGCGCACATATTTTATTATTTTTATTACAAAAAAAGTTAAAAAAAAATAAAAACCTCAAGACTGTCAACGTACTTTATTATTTATTAATTATATTTAAATATAAAATCAAAAATCAACTACTTACGTATTAAAGAGAAAGAGGTGGTTTGGCGACCCTGTAGGTATATCGTTCCTACCTCTTTCTCGTGTCGTTATGATCGAGGCGCGAACAGAAATAGAACTATACCATGAATAGATAGTTATTAAAGCATAGCATAGTACATATTTAGTTAGTTTATTTGGACCCCCCCCCGGAGCTAAATCCTAAATACGTCACTGCATCTAGTTATCGACACACCCGATTTTTTACGTAAAAATTTAATTGCATTCTAAAAGTGGCTAACTCCAATTGTCAATCAAATACTCATCTATAGACAAAATTTAAAACCAGATGCTTCTGCAAAATCTTAACTCTAATATATAAGAAATTATTAGGTACATTGCAGACAATATTCAGCAACATTGCATCCAATGAACAGCGGACAAGACTTCAGCAACGTTGCATTGCAGCGCAATCTTGCTGCAACATTGCAGGAATATTGAGTGCTATAGGAAAAGTAAAAAGAGTGCAGTTTTAATTAGTTAGTTCAGAGGTTCGGAAAGTGTGCTTGGGCCGTGAAGGCAGCCCAGTGGCGTCGCGAGGCTCCCGTCTTAACACGGAAATAACATTATTTAGGGCGCCGTGAAAATAAATCAAACTTGTAAGTGCTCTGCAAAGTGAATACGTTTGGGAACCCCTGAGTTAGTTATCCCAGCAAACCAGGCTGTTCCATTTACATAACCATGATACAACTAACAAAGAACATTGCCATATAAAATTGTTTACATAACATTTACATATTAGTTATTTATTTTGTTACATAATTATGATAAAACATAGTAATATAACATTTATATAAATATGTTCCCCTCTTGTTATATTTACATCCCCCTTATGTATCAGCCATATAACAATGTTATATATCTACAATGGAACAATGATACATCATTGATATATGGCAATGTTTTAAAGTATCCATATAACCTTATTATATGGTATTTACATAGTTTTTCTTTATTTTGTTACATAATTATAATAAAAAATTTTAATATAATAGTTACATCAAAATGATCCCTTCTTGTTATATTTACATCCCTATTATGTCATGGCTATATAACAATGTTTTATACCTACATTGTAACAATGATATATAAATGTTATATATTAAAGTTTTATAGTATTTATATAGCCTTTTTATCTTACTAACGAACTCGTTTAAACGGTTGTGTCGAGTGCTCTCTATTGTGTTTTAAGTTAAGTTAAGTTTGATTCCATTTTTTTATAATAAAATGGAAGACAAAAATAGAAAAAAACATATTTCCCTATCCCGGAGGCAAAAGCGGAGGAGAATTAATGCAGATCTCAAAATAATGGGCGTGGAGGTAAGAAATTGTATAGAAAATACCCAAGACAATGTGGAATATACTGAGGCTAAAACCGAAGTATTATCTTTCCCTAACCAGCCAATAAATAAACATATAATAAAAATATTTTTACAGAAAATTTGGGAGAATATTCAGGAGGTCATAGGAAAACTTCCCATACTTTTGTGGAAGATTTGTGTAATAGATACTTACCTAGTCAACTTTTTATTAATGATCTGTTAAAAGTTTTGAGAAAACATTATTGCAAAAAGAAGTAGAGGCTGAATTTGTAAGTATATAAAGGGCGATTTTAAACCTGTTTAATAATGTTAATTTGTTTTTAAAACAGGGTGCTAAAAAACAAGCGACAAATTATAATTTAATGATATTTGGTAGCCAAAATATGAGTTTAATTTCTATATTTTTTTTAACTTTATCTTACTGTTTTTTCAACTGGTACTTAAAAGATACAATAATTTTGCTAAATAACCAAGATGGATGCACTTTTTTATTATAATTGTTGTGACAATTAATTTTTTGCAAATTCCATATTTTTCATTATTTTTATATCTCTTAAGGTTGCAGGGTGCATTCGACTTGAATAAATAAAATCAAACAAATTATTATTTGTACCAAATATCATTTACATAACTACATAAAGAATAGTTAACAATTGTTCTTTGTTTTGAAAACAAATCAATAAACAAAAATAATATTAAATTGTATTTTTTTTTCAGTTTCAGTATATAACAAAAATTGGAGGCGTCTCAGAGAAAGATGCCACAGTAAGAGTTTTAAAGAAAATCTTCTCAAATAATTTGGCAAAAGATTGCTCTTGCTGGGGCTAAGAAACAACAATAAAATTCAAAATTTAAAATCTGTTGAAATATTGAAGGGTAAAAATGTAAATTTTATGGGATTTTTTATTAAATAAATTTTTTTAAGCTGCTGTGTGCACTTCGACAGAAAATTTTAAAGGCATAGTTTCCGAATGGTTCCGGCAGGCCAAACAAAGATTTGGTATACCCTATAGGGAAGCAAAAAACCCATGAAAAGAAGGTATATTAATATTAAATTCATGGGATTGCTTTATCTTTTTTACCATATATTTTTTAGCTTTGAAGTATTAATGTATTTGGGATTTTTTTTGTTTGGAAAAACTTTTCGTTTGTTTTAAGAAGTTAGAAAGAAGAAATGATTTGTTTTTTTTTTAAATTAAAATAATTTTTAATAAACATTTAAACCAATTTGTTTTTTTTTAATCATTTATTTTTGTAATGTTTACTTATTATTTATGTAATATTTATTTATAATTTATTTAATATAAGTATTATCTAACTGGCATTAACAATTTCTTAGTTCTAATTTGGTATTATGGCAATTTTAAAATTTTGTTGATTTTTTTTCAAAAAATTTGCCATAATACCAAGTTAGGGCTAAGCAATTTTTAATACCAGTAAGATAATATATTACATGAAATTATATTTATAAATATTTCATAAATAATATGTAAATATTGCATAAATTATATATAAATAAGTAAATGCAACATTTATGTAAATAGAATATAATTGTTTTATCACGTTTACATAACTATGATATGGCGCTGTAACATTACAGTTACATATCTATGATAAAACACTGTTACATCACAGATACATACCCAGGAAGGGGTCTTGAGGCGGACATAGGAGCATCGCCATTACATATAGGCAGTGGCGTATTTAGGATTTAGCTCCGGGGGGGGTCCAAAAAAACTAACTAAATATGTATACATATTTAGTTAGTTTTTTTGGACCCCCCGGAGCTAAATCCTAAATACTATACTATGCTATGCTTTAATAACTAAAAAATCACAAATTAGGAACTCTTCTGATCCGATAAAATAGTAAATAAAAGGAACTTTTTTTGTAATAAAAATAATAAAATATGTGCGCCCGGGGGGGGTCCGGACCCGGCAGACCCCCCCCTAAATACGCCACTGCATATAGGTGACATAGCTGTTGCATAGTAAGGAACAATTTTTATGTAAATGTTATATCACTGTGACATGATTTGGTTTTGCTGGGATTTAATAGAATACAGTTTTTTAGCTACAATAAACCGTTTTTTATCTGTGTACCTAACTATAAAAGAAATAGGTACTATACATTTAACATTTTTTTTGTATAGGTACTTTATTAAAATAGGTATTTTATTTTTTGCGTGCCTTGCTACGCCACTGCATATAATACAGGAAACAGGAAGCATATAATGCAGAAAAAAATAATAACTTAAAATTATTAAAAACAGATTATCAGATGTAAATAAATTATCAAAATTGTTTAAACACTTTTTAGACTTACTTTAAAGGTTTTTTTAAATTATAATATAAATTAAATTAAATTAAAATAGTTATTTCATTGTCGTACATTAATATTAATATGAAACTTTAAAACAAAATCTACTTAAACATTTTGGTAACATTAGTAACTATAATTAGGACCTAATTATTAGGTATATAATTAAGTCAACTAAAGTCAATTAAATCAACAACCGATGGCATCGGTGTTGTGAAAGTACGTCTAGGTAGGTAGGTATCAGATTTTTCAACCACTGTATAGAAACGCATTGGTTCGGGAGAAACTTGGACTTTGAACATGAAACGGACTGAACATTTCACACAGCCGCATTATTTATTTTAAAGCTTGCACTGGTAAACTTACTTACGATATAAACACGTCTAGTGCTGTCAATGAAATAAAAGTATCATAACTATATACTTTTAAATTAAAAGGCCCTTAATATCTGCAAGGTATGTCTATAACTTTTTAAAATAGTATAACAGTGTACATATGAATTAAAACAGGTTGCTTCCTTGATTTAAAATAATATTTCAGTACTATGTATTATTTTTATAAAAATATTATTAAGCTTTATTATTATTATTTTTTAAATACCAAATAATTCTTAATAATAAAATAATAATTCATAATTATAATTTTTTAATATATTTTTATGTAAAAAAAGTATATACCTTTATTATTAAAAGATTCTTAATAATAATTAATAATTATAAATTTTTATTTGTATAAGTAAGCGTGATAAATAACATAGTACCTAAATAAAGTAAATAAATAGGTGCTATATCACAATATATTGTTGTTTTTATATTATACCATGGTACTGCAGTAATATTATAATATATATTGTTTTTAATACTTTCTTATTGATTTAGGTAAGTACCTATATAATTATGTGTAATATAAGTTAATATAAGTAATTAAATCTTAACTTATAATTAATATTAATTGAAATAGTGATACATAAACATATAATATTAAAAAGTATGGACCCCTCTGAACTTTGAACTGTCTAATTGTTGTTTGTTTTCTACATTAAATAGAATTGGAGCATCTGAACACGTTGTACTATAAATACTCTAGTGAAAATATTTTTATTTTCAGATATATCTGCGAGAAATATGTCAAGAATCTTTTTAAAGAAGCCCTTGTTAGTTCAAAATTTCGGGTTTATATCGTCCTTACAAAATGCACCATTGTCGACAAAAAAATATACAGTGTGTGCTAGAAGAAAAGAATTGAACAAGGTTCAAACCAGGGGATTGGCTACAGGAATAATAAAATCACCTCTAGGACCTTGTCCAAAAATACCTAACGAAAATTTAGTGGAATATATTTACAAAAATGTTGACGAATTCATTGAAGAACCGGCAGCGGTATGTTGTTATTTTTTTATATTAATATTAGGCAAATGTTGCAATCTCATACAGAGTAGACTTAATATTTTTATTGTTCTATTTTTATACAGCCTACATGTTTTCATTCTTATCATTAACATTATTTATGACTTATTTAATTCACTGTCTGTGCATTGTTTACGTAAATTTAAATTATTTGTTTAAATTTTGCAACGTATGACAACGATGTCTGGTCAAGTTTATCACGTGGTTTTGATGCACATGCGTTGTTACATTGTAAGAAATAATTCTCTATTTTGAAATTGACTTATCTAAATTTTGTTTATAAGTTCAAGGTTAGTATAAATATAATTTATTATATTATGTATACTTAGAACTTTAATATCAAATATTTGCCCATTATTTTGAAAATAGATTTCCCCTAAAACTTCAGGTGCGTACACACGTTAATACATGTAAATACAAGTAACTGCAATTGTGATTTTGAAAAAAATAAAATGTAATAAGTACTTAATATTTATTTATTTTTTATTATCTCGTTTTTCTATTATTTGTAAATTGTATTCAAGTAATCAATCATTATAATTAATTATTAATTATTGTTGCCCTAGGTCTAAAATATAATCTTGAATATTTAAACTTGACTTTTGTAACCATTAAAAATTCAATAATAATTATTATTTTTTAACCAAGATTTAAATAATGCCTTAATGCATTATTTATAATTTATAAGTACCTATATTTAATTTAATTAAATAACAAAACAAATATTTTATTATACCAGGTAGGTAGGTACCTACTATTATAATATCAAATAATTACAGTAAAATCCAAAATTGTATTTAATTCAAAATAAATATACCTTAAATTTGTACCATATAGGGTATAACCCAGTAAGCACCAAACAGTCGGTAAAAAATGGCCACTGCTCGGCATTGGCGGTTGACCGGCCCCCATCCGGCCCGCTTATGACCCGCGTTATGTTACCCCGGTATCGGTTGACCATTTTCAAACCGTGGTAGGTCAGAACACGGCATTACGCGGCATAGCTAAGTGGTTCAGCTTACCCCAGCCGGCCTGCGCTATGTTACCCCAGTTACCCTTTTGGCCAGCTACTAACCGAAATCGGCTGGAATACGGTCTGCCGCGGTGGCCATATTCCGGCCGATCGCTATTAAATAGCTGGGTTAAAGTCGCGTGCTTAAGCAGCCGTTAGATACATCGCTTATGTGATACAAATTTTAATAGCAATGGGTTGCAATATTTAGTTGGATGTGTGAGTCTGTAATCGCACATGACAGTTTTTTATGGCTGTCATCAAGTTTTAAACTAAATGAGATACCAGCTTTTTGAAAAAAATAAAAAACGCGTTAATTGTCATTTTAGCCAAGCTATAGCTATTATAATAAAAAAACCTTAATTTAGTTGGGCTACCTTATGTGAATTGACTGTAACTACCTATGGGTATACGAAGTAGGTTCCACCTGTTTCGGGCCGGACGCGGCCAATTCGGTTCGTATGCTTACTGAGAAACATTTATTTTTATAATTTAACTCACAATTAATACAATAAAAATTAAACTTTGTATATTTAAATTACAACATAACATAAACATAAATAAACTTGGACTGATAATTTAAATATGTTAAAAGATCAAATTTTATCTAACGATTTAAAATAAATTAAAATGATTTTTAAGTTAAGTAAACACAGGATAATTTGTTATATCCTTTTGTTTACCAAACAAAATAATTTATTTTGTAAGTACCTATATTTTTTAATTATTTTTATGTTAAAATTGTATGTACACAATATTATTGGCAAAATAATAGATACAAAACAATTTGTCAAAAATAAATTAAATGTATACTTATTGTTCTATCAAATAATGTCTGGCACGAGTAATAAACATTATTAAACAAACAATAACAATTCATTTTACTAAATTTGTTTTTTTAGATTAAAAACAGTTTGATTATTTTAATTTTAATTTCTAGAATCACTATTGTTAAAAGGAAGTTAATACACTCATACTAGTATACAACATAATAATTAAATAGGTTCCATCAGTGTTTTAACGGACATTGCACATAATTTAAATTACAAGTATTATGTTTGGATATTTATGATATGATAAATCAAGGCAGAATATTTATTTAAAAATAATACACAGCCTGTGTTACACAATAAAATGTAAAGCAACAATTTTTTTTAACTTAAAATAAAAATAAAACCATCCTTACCGGCGCAATATAGGGGGCAGTTGTTATTTTACATTTTCTATTTTTTTTAAGCTTTAAAAAATATAATATTAATAACACAAGAATCTTCTGGAACCGGTTGGTTATATAAGTTTCGTAACGGCACAATAAGAAGATTAGACGCGTTAACGAAAGAATAAAGTGGAACTAAAAAGTAATTATTTTTATACTGTTTTTAGTGGTTTATTAATAGGGTGTAGTTTAAATAAACATGCTGAAATCCTCAGTAAGAGAAAATCATTTAAAGTGAGTTTTAATTATGATATATTAAGTGAAGTTACCAGAGAAGAGGTATGGGCAAAAGACATTGTAACAAGGCAATATCGTTTTTTTCGAGGGAAACGAACAGACTCAGTCCTGTAGAGTAATTCACATGTGTCTTAAAATTGTATGGAGTATTAGTTTGTTTGGATTTTGTACCTATATAATATATATATATATATATATATATATATATATATATATATATATATATATACACATATAAACGGTCATTGTGCAGCCCATTCTATATATAAGCTATACTCTGTGTAGCCCGAAATGACTTTATGTGGCCCACTCCCGGGCTGAACAACGTTTGACGTTATTTCAACGCTAATCGATTAATCACGGTGTTGGGAACCCCAGGTTAAATTTTTGGCAGGGCTTAACAACGACCGGTTTAGCCATAGTTACATACAGAATAGTTCATTGAATTTAACTGTAGGTGGCGCGCTGTAGTAAGTGTATCTAGAATAGGAATCCTAGATATCTTACGGTTCCTGTGTAGCCCTAAATCCGGCAACACTGCAAACAAAAATTTTTCGTAGGAAGATATTATTTAATATCAAGCAGTGAGCACAGTTTTAACGCTGCCGCGCGCTGTAAGTTCGATACCGCGACTTAATCAGAGATTTATTCGAATACTTTTAATTGTTTTTATTACTTAATGTATTATAGAATGTGCACAATGAGCTTTATTTTTTTTTAAATTCTTTCTAAAAATATAAAAGGCAAAAAACATTAATTGTAAAAAAAGCTTTTACTGGAACATACATAAAGGGTGTCCCATTAAGACCGCCTATTTTAAATTTAGTGTCATTTTTTTTGTGTCAATCGTACAGCGTTGTTGTTGGACAGTGGTCATGTGTGAACATTGAGGTTAAGTCATGGAGATTTACACGGAAGCACAACGCATAGAAATTGTAAAAATCCACAGTAGAAATGGTGAGAATTTTTCGGAAACGGTTTGAGGATATCGTGGATTTTTTGGTCACCATAACGCACCTTCTCGCCGTACTGTGGTCCGATTATAATCGTGCAATTTGAAACGATTGGGTCAATTCAAACCAAAAAGAGACATATCCATGTTCGTGCAGCTCGGTCTGCTGAAAATATTGCAGCAGTTAGTGAAAGTGTTGAACATAATTCTTCCACCTCGATTCGCCACCGTTCCCAGCAATTGAGACTATCTCGAAGCAGTTTACAGCGAATTTTGGCCAAAGACCTGCATTTTCATGCGTACAAGATTCGGTTGAAACAATATTTAAAGACAGCAGACCATGCACAGCAACGAAACCATGGAATTATTGAGGACAAAATTTGAAGGCAGTTATCTCGCGCCGCGAGGATGTGATGTGGCCAGGCCGATCATGCGATTTGACGCCGTTAGATTTCTTTTTTTGGGTTTTTTTGAAGGAAAAGCTTTATGCTAATAACCCAAAAACAGTTTCTAAACTAAAACATGAGATTCGACGGGTCATTGATGAAATTGAGCCGGCACTATGCCAAAATTTAATCGAAAATTTTGTCAAAAGAATCAACGTGTGCCGTCAGACACGAGGCGGCCATTTATCGGATATTGTGTTCCATATATAACCTTCATGTCTTCCCTCTTTATTGCAATAAAAATATCTTAACTTTTTAAATAAACACGGCATTTTTTTAAAATTTTAAAATAGGCGGTCTTAATGGGACACCCAAAATGTAATATACCCTATGTATTTTCGTAACCCGATTCTTTAAGTATACTGAAATACTTGTTTTGGCATATTCGTGATCGTCTAGTTAATTTACTTACTTTATAAAAATTAGGACTCTACGTTGTGTATTTACTTACATTGATAATAACGTTATTTTGAAACTGGTCAGGTTTAATGAAACAAAAGTATTTAATTTTTAAACCCCTGATTTAATTTAAGCAAAGACAAAGGGGTGGCCCGTTGAGTCAAAGAACAGGGAAAAGGGACCATAAAAACCCTGTCGACTTACACAGTTCAAATAAAAAATAAAATACAAAACAAAACATAGTTATATGGGTCATAATCACAAGAATGTAGTATAAATAATAAGTGCATAAAATAACATAAAAAGCAGATAAACATATTTCATATAATTTGGGTGTTTTTATCAATACTCAAAACATTTTGTACTCAGGTAAAATAGTTATAATAGAGATCGTCATTTTATGACGAAGTGTTTGTTTATTTGATTACCTTACCACGCATCTTCGAACTATTGAACGAGGATACGATTTTATATAAATAAACTACAACAACGACTTTATTAAGGGCCGGTTTTTCAATCGTTGGTTAACTTTATCTTACGGTTAATTTCCTTAGATACTATTGTTAACACAATAGTATCTAATAAAGTTAACCGTAAGTTAAACTTAACCAACGATTGAAAAACCGGCCCTAAGTTGTAATAAGCGGTTTAAATTTAATCACTTAATCAGACTTTATAACTTTTTTAGTTGAATGTTTTAAAAATAGAAAT